CATGCACGTGCGCTGAATCTGATTGGCGAAACTTTAAATGGCTATAACTGCCTTGGTTTTCAGCCAAACAGGATGGAATTTGGAACATAGATAGATATAATCGACTTCTACAAGAAGGTATGGTCACCATGCACATTCATACGCGTGCGTGTACGTGCGCTGCAATCTGATTGGCTGAAACTTTAAATAGCTATAACTCCCTTAGTTTTCAACCAAACAGGATGAGATTTGGAACATAGATAGATATAATGGACTTCTACAAGAAGGTATGATCACCATGCACATCCATACACGTACGTGAACGTACGCTGCAATCTGATTGGCTGAAACTTTAATCAGCTATAACTCCCTTGGTTTTCAACCAAACGGAGTGGGATTTAGAACATAGATAGATGTAATGAACTTCCACAAGTAGGTATGTCACCATGCTCATGTATGCACGTGCGTGCACGTGAAATGAGTAAAATCAAAAATACACTTGAATAACCGTATTTTTTTTAATAACCAAACATATATTTTTATATCACTGTAAATTTTTACTGTTCCCACCAAAAAAATCATTCTTAATAGGGATGTTAAAATTCAGAATAGTTTGATCTGCCCTGAAGAATTTAAATTGAGAAAAGACTCTGACTTAGGTCAAAATTTTGACATTGAATGTTTCACATGTATGCACACAAATTTGCAGGTTTGTGTAATGGACAGATTCATACATTTGTGAAAAGTTTGTTTCAGTATGAGAATAGTCTTAAAACTTCTACTGATTTGTATTTTAATTTAAGTCTGTTCTCAGTTTATTTTCTATATTCATGCATGTTGTTTTAGGAGAGTGTATTAGAACTGAAAGTGAAAGAAACACCCAGGAACGAGCAAGCTCCTATGCTGTACTACAATATAGCTCCTGATCCAGTGTCTCGGATGAATGAAGCCAGGAGAAAGTTGGAGGAAGCCATTCTCAGATATGAAACAATCATTGAGCAGATTGAGGAATTGTGGGAAACCAAAGTAAGTGACCATTTTCTGATAAATTCTGTACTGAAAGATAATGTAATGTCCATTACAGTATCTACCACATTCTGAATCTTCATTTTGTGCAAGTTGAGCTGTATATTTCAGAAATAAGGTATGAGTTTGAAACGTTTATTGGGATGTAATTACAGGTTAGTTGTGTGATCGAATCCCATAGAATACCATCAGCTTTATCGGAGGTTTGATCACTTACCTGTTTTTACATCCTGATAAATGTTTTAAAAAGATACCTTAGAACTTGTATGTACATTTGGGACTGATTTGTGACTAATGTTTGCCTACTATTGTTTTAAACCCTGAAATGATTTAAACATCAATGGTATAAAATGTAATTGATAAAAATTTAACCTTCTACAACTTCTTAATAAAGTTCAGGACAAATCAATCAGCATTTACAATAAAAAATTGCAGATATTTCCCTTATATACATTAACTTTTCTGCATTCAGGTTTGTCACATGACCATAAATTCATTAATTTTTAAGGTCATATTTTCACAATGAAATCATAAATGATTTGCATGCTCAACACATACTTTAGACAATTTCAAAATAATTCTATTTGTAGTGTAATTCTTTGAATAGTAGAAAGTTTTCAAATACAATTTTTTAAATGTCCCAAAGTTTTGCATATTATATGATTGTTTTAGTTTGGATCTAAACATGTTATCTGCATTTAGATTCTTCAATGTTGGAATTACTATAAAGAAAATAATAGATAAATTAAAGAAAAACTTTACTAGAGTTCTTAATATGGTAATATTGTGTACTTTTTAGAGAAGTGAAGTGACAGAGGAAGAGCTGGACGGTCTGTTAGACATGTTAAACATGGAGATATCACTACAGAGATCCAACTTAGCACTGGGCAGTTCTGATTTTTTCCTAATGAGAGACCCTACATTTGTTTTTAACAAGAAAGATAAGAAAAAGCCAAACTTGCCCAAACCTACGGACAGGTTACCATCAGCACTTGGTGAGGGACTTAGTGTTCCAGTAGAGATCTCCTCTGAGATAGCAGCACTGGAATCCCAGCTGAGGTTGCTGGAGACACAGGTCGGGAGGAAGACCAGGCAGTACACCACAGATCTGGAGAGACTTTCTGTCAGGGTCCCAGGGGCACTGTTTGTTCAGCCTTCATCATGTGTTTAGAAGGAGGTGGATATAATACATGTACAAGCTTACATTTACTACTGCCATTTACAAAGGAGATTTATATATTAAACCAAATTAGGATGATTTCAGTTCAGTGTTGAATCCCCTAAAAGTGAAAAAACATGAATTGAAAATTTTCAGTGTTAGTAGGCCATTTCTGTTAGATAAATAAAATATTGAACATATTTCTTTATGAAGTAAAATCATTATACATGTACATGTTTGTAAAAGTGACATTTTGGATATTATAGCTTCTCTTTAGGGGGTGGGGTTAAAGTTTGGGGGATTATAGTTACCATATTTAAGCTTGCTGCATGCAGATATACCTCCTCCATAGTTTGGAAAATGGAATTACACTCAATTTAAATGTATTAAACAAGTAATATTACAAGTATTCTGTTTGTACAAAAAATTGAAAACTATGATACAATGTTTGTTAGAATTTGTTTTGTGTAATGATTATTTTAATACTTAATGTAAATATGTTTGATTGTATTTAGATTTTGAATTACTTTTTTCCCCAAATATATACAGAGTTTATTGGGAATCTTACAAAGAGATATTGATGCATGCCATTATCACCTTGTCTGTCTATCTATCTGTCATCATCTTTCAACACCTAATGTGATACAATCACTCCAGTTCATTATACTCTAGCTACACACTTTTAATTATTATATACATGTAGCTGTAGGATAATCTAAACTTTGAGGTCATTTGATCACAAGTCAAGGTCAAAATCCAAAATAATTCCCTCCACCATTCCTCATTTAGTACTGCAATAACTCTAGCTACACACTTTTAATTATTATATACATGTAGCTGTAGGATAATCTAAACTTTGAGGTCATTTGATCAAAAGTCAAGGTCAAAATCCAAAATAATTCCCTCCACCATTCCCCATTTAGTACTGCAATAACTTTTACATTTTGTTAATACTATATAATTTAATTCTGTTTGTATTCTTGTCTCTCATTGGTTGATTTCCAAAAAGGAACGCATAACATTTTGTATAATCTGGTTTGGTATGGGGACACACCCCCTTGACAACCAGCTGAATCATCTGTATCCATCAATCCCCTCATTTCCAGTCCTTCGGATTCATGAAAAATTCCAGATTTAATGAATGTACCTTTAACTTCAAACAGTTGCTCGATCTTACCTCATGTAAACAAGCATCATGGCTGCTAGATCTATGTATCAGTTTTTACCTCCCCTTGCTTCCCATCACTTCCGTTACTACGGTTGTATTATTGCGCGGTAAATTTGAACTAATAAAAACAACACAATTTTATATCCCCAGTTGTTTAATTGTTTTAAAATTAAATTATAAGGTATGACTCTAATTCTTGGCAAAATTATCGAGTATAATATGGTTTGGGTCAGTTTACGCTTTTTTATAATCCGCTTCGCGGATTATAAAGCGTAAACTGACCCAAACCATATTATACTCGATAATCTGGCCAAGAATTAGAGTCATTCCTTAAATATTAATAACTTTTGTTAATTTTTCAGTATAAAATTTCATATTTCTTATATTGCAGAAAATATCTCGAGATCATATCGGATACAATTTATGCTAATTTCAACAGGCAGCTTTCTTATTCACTTAAAAATTAAAATATATTTGTGGTGAAGAATTCAAAAGGTCAAGGTTAATAAGATTATCACTTTGTAAGAGTCTCTGTGACTTTGTCAGTGTTCTTGTTTTGTTCTTTATTTTGTCTTCCATGAAAACTTGAAAACTTGAAATGAGTTATTAAAGATGTAAAAAAAAATTTTGGATTGCTTTTCTTTGTTATCTCTACATTTATGGTTTCATCAATGGACTTTGTTCTATGTTATAATGGATAAAAGAAAGCAGAAACTTCAAGATAACCTCTCGGGCCAGAAGAAGGGGACTGTAACCTTCAAGATTTATACAGTCTTAAAAAAATGACAGATTTCCAGTCTGCAGAGATCAACAGAGTTAGCTGTTTCCTACATTTGTGAATCTCATGCTCACATGAGTAGTAGCAAAGAGGATGCTAATAATATCAAATATTCCTTTACTTGTGTTGAATAAATATACAATGTACCCACAAATAGCAGGGTTGAACGCCCCTTTGTGAATGAAATGTCATTACTTGCCGTTGAAGCGCTGTGAAGAGGAGACGTGTACTGGGGACTTAGCCCTCGAACAGGGAGAGATTTTCCCCCTGCCAACACCTACCGCGACACGGGTCCTCGGGTTATCAGTTTATACCGTCTCATCCGACGGTCTCCACGTCCCGCTATAGGATTCGAACCCGCGACGGAAGGACACCTCCTCCCTACTCCCCGACTTGAGGGCAAAATATGCCACGCGGGGGACTAAATACTAGTAGTTTATCAATTTACTATCCGAATTTAGGCCAAATAAGTTTAGGCTAGAGAGCAATTTAAGAGAGAAGAGAGAGAGAGGAGGGAGCATGATTTTTCTTATAATAATTTCTAAGATGACACAACTTTTTGCAAAAGAGTCAAGGAAAAAAAACATTTGTACTGTATTTAGTGTAGAGATCATCTTTACTATACTCACCAGAATAACCAATACTTTTATTTTCCATTTAGTACTGATGAAAATGTTTTATACCGTCGAACAAAAGCATATAGATATTTTGTAGATTAGTTATTAGATCCACATACATGTATTCAATTTCAGAACAAAACGAACCGATTTGGAAAAGACTGAACTGAAAAATCTACTATTGATTTGGAGAAGGATGCTAGATTAACCTTTGGGCAATTCAAAATTGACATTTATAAAAAAAATACAATGTGTAAATTAAATCTATCGTAGATTCAGATTTCCCCTGTGGTACAGTGTATAACGTTTTTTTTGTTGTCAGTTTCCGCATTCTCTATGTAATCACGACTTAATGAATTTCCATAATCCTGCATAATTCCTTTGGAGAAAAAAATCCTATAATTTACTGGTATTTAACTATTTTCCACATAATTATACAGCAATTGCAAGTTGATTCTACTTAATGATAGATGCTTACGTAGGTTTTGATCAGCTTTACGTATATAGGAATTTAAAAATAGTTATTTTTCTTTCGGTTGAACTTCGAGATATGATTTGTTTTTAATATTCGTGAGAGTTTAGGATATTTTGATTTTAAATTTTATGAATGCCTTGGGATGACCATCATTTTGTCTTACGAATGGTAGTGTATTTTGTTTCTGTAAGTTTTCAGACATAAACCTGTAATTAAGAAGGGGTCATGCAGACTACCATCAGATATTCTATTATATATTTAAAAAATTCAAAGAATTGTGGTCCCCCGCTTTCGGTGTCTTTTTGGGTGAGATGTCATTTTTTATGACATTTTGTGTCTAATATGAACGCCCTATCATAAGTCATCTATTTAGAAATTATCACTGAACTCCAAGGTCAAGGTCAAAGGGTTAACGTTCTTGGTATCCAATGAAAAGTCTTCTCAGAAGGATTACATATGTGAAGTATGAAAGCCCTAGCCCTTACTATTCAAAAGTTATGGTCAAGGTTAAAGTTTTCTCATAAGTACAAAAAATCTCCAAGGTCAAAAGGTCAAGGTTGTTGGTATCAAATGAAAGGTCTTGCCACAAAAAATACATATGTGAAATATGAAAGTCCTGGTATCTACTGTTCAAAAGTTGTGGCAAAGGTCAAAGTTTTTAAAAAGTAGGTCAAACTCCAAGGTCAAGGTCCAAGGGGCAAAGTTCTTGGTATTCAATGAAAGGCCTTCTCACACGAATTATATATATGAAGTATGAAAGCCGTAGCCCTTACCATTCAAAAGTTATGGTCAACGTTAAAGTTTTTTCATAAGTATGGAAATCTCCAAGGTCAAGGTCAAGGTTGTTGGTATCCAATAAAAGGTCTTGCTACAAAGAATACATATGTGAAATATGAAAGTCCTAGTAGATACCGTTCAAAAGTTATGGCCAAAGTAAAAGTTTGAAATTTTTGTGTAAAAGTGGGTCAAACTCCAAGGTCAAGGACAAAAGGTCAAATTTGGTGGTACCCAAAGAAAGGTCTTGTCACAAGAAATACACATATGAAATATGAAAGTCATAGCTCCACTAAATCAAAAGTTATGGGCAAGGTTAAAGTTTTTGTGACGGACGGACAGACGGACAGACGAATGAGATTTAATGTCCCTTCGCTTTCGCGAAAGCGGGGGACAACAAGCACAAATGGGACACCATATTTTTCAGTCTAGTAAACAACTTAAAAAACTGAATTTGATTGTTAAAATGGAAGTACCTACACTTGTATCTCAGATTGATTTTAAGACTATTTTTGTATTCATCGTCATATTCATCATCACCAACAACATCGTGACGAATCTAAGGAGGGTCCTCCCGGGGCCGTGGGCGTGGTCCCTTATAGGG